AGGCAGACGCTTAATGACTGAGCCACCCAGGCGCCCCTTAAGATTTTATTTTTAAGTAATCTTTACATCCAATGTGGGGCTCGAATTTACAACCCCGAGATCAAGAGTCGCACACTCTACCGACTGAGCCAGCCAGGCACCCTGAAAAACACACATTTTAAAACACTGGAGTCACACGTGGTGTTTTGAGATGTTCACGTTGAGAGGCCCCAGAGAACTGAGACCATTTAAGGGGCTGGCATATTCCAGGCTCCCGTCTCCCACATGCTCCTCCACTGGAATGACAGAGAGTGCCTACAATATTTATTTCTTTGTTTGTTTAAAGATTTTATCTATTCATGAGAGAGAGAGGGTGAGAGAGCACAACTGGGGGGAGGGGCAGAGGGAGAAGAAGAAGCAGACTCCCCCGCTGAGCACAGATCCCAACTCAGGGCTCAATCCCAGGCCCCTGAGACCATGACCTAAGTCAAGGTCAGACACCCAACCGACTGAGCCACCCAAGCTCTCCCTATGATATTGAAATAGTGATTGTTCTCATTTCAGGTTTACAGTTCAACCATGGTTAAACTCTCAAAAGTTAAACGCATGTATGGTACCTCTGTACCTATTATTCTGCGTGTCATCCTCGCATCCTTGCCATGCTAATCTTCTCTGTATTGTTCCAACTTTAGCATACGTGCTGCCGAAGCGAGCACCATTGTATCTATTATTTTGCACAATTCCTTGCATAGAGAAGTTTCAACAAAGCCTTTCTTAAAACACAGAAGTATATTGCTTGACTGGCATCTTTTAGCATGAGTGGTACAAGTATCATTTCTGTTAATTATAGCACAGTGATCCCTACCTAAGAGGACTGTGACGTCAAAACTCTGGTTTATTGCACAGAATAAATAACAGGCAAAATTAAGCTAGGTGGAAGTAAGATATTAGCAGTTGGTACCAACTGTCCTACCAGCGATGACAAAAAAATTCAATGTTGCATAATTATTGCTTTGTTGCATCCTTTACTTAACAACAAATGGAGGCAGGAGCCTTGTCTTCTCTATTTGATGACTTAGAATACCCCGTGCACTAATGGAACATCAACAATAATGAAACATGGGAGGAGCTCCTGCCTGGCCCAGTCCATACAGCATGGGACTCTTGGTCTTGGGGTTGTGAGTTCAAGCCCCACATTGGGTGTAGAGATGACTTAAAACAAAATAATGAAACATGATTAGAAGCTGACCTGGGGTCTCCCACCCTGAGAACATTTTCCTGAAAAAAAAAAAAAAAAGACAAATTACTGCATTCTAGCAAAGCTAAAAATCCTTTTTTTTTTTAAGATTTTATTTGAGAGGGAGAGAGCACAAGCAGAGGGAGCAGCTGAAGGAGATGGAGAAGCGGACTCTCCTGCTGAGCAGGGAGCCCGACGCGGGGCTCGATCCCAGGACCCTGAGATCATGACCTGGGCTGAAGGCAGCCGCCCAACTGACTGAGCCACCCAGGCGCCTCAAAGCTAAAAATCCTTAACAGGGAAAGCCTGTATCACAGAATAAAATCCCCCAGAGCCTACGGGGTGATTAATTTCTTTTCTATTCAAATCTAAAGCATAAGCAACGTTCACTTGGATCGCAGGATTTACACAGTACTTAACTTTTTGCTCTTTTATTTATTACTTTTTTAAAGTTTATTTATTTACTCAAGCAATCTCTACATCCAATGTGGAGCTCGAACTTATAACCTCAAGATCAAGAGTCCCATGCTCTTCTGATTGAGCCAGTCCAACTTTTTACTCTTTTAAAAGACTGGAGATGTAGGGGCGCCTGGGTGGCTCAGTCGTTAAGCATCTGCCTTCGGCTCGGGTCATGATCTCGGGGTCCTGGGATCGAGCCCCACATCGGGCTCCCTGGTCGGCAGGAGGCCTGCTTCTCCCTCTCCCACTCCCCCTGCTTGTGTTCCCTCTCTCGCTGTGCCTCTCTCTGTCAAATAAATAAATAAAATCTTTAAAAATAAATAAATAAATAAAAAATAAAAGACTGGAGATGTAAACTAAAAAAACAAAAACAAAAACCTTCTCAAATCTTACATAGTTTCCCCAGCAACCCTTGAGGACCATCTCTCTCTTCTTTTCAAGGTGATATTTTACGAATGAAAAGCAAACATCTAGAACGGGGGTCAACGATCTGCAGCCTGTGGGTCAAATCCATTTTGTCAATAAAGTTTTATTGGCACACAGCCACACTCATTTGTCTGCATTTCATCTGTGGCTGCTTTCCTGTAAGGGCAGGGCTGCACGCATGTGACAGAGACCACATGTGCCCCGGACCGAAAGTACTTATTATCTGGCCTTTCACAGAAAAAGTTTGCTCATCCCTGATCTACTGTTCACTTCCATCATGGACAACGGACCCTCATTTGCAATGTCGTCGCTCCATTTACCAAACCTCTCACATCTTGAAATAGAGGCCCTGTTTTTTTTTTTTTTTCCAAACCGTTTCTAGGTTTTCCTAGAATTTTTCAGGTCTCCGAGGCCTTGATTTTATTTAAGTTCCTGAGGTGCCACCTTTTCCACAGTCTGGGCCACAGTGAATGGGAGCTATAAACTCAGTGCTAAACCTGTTCTCCATTCCACAGAAATGTACGGAGGAGGGCATTAAAGGTACAAACTTCCAGTCCTAAAAAAGTCCTGGGGCGCCTGGCTGGCTCAGTTGGTAGAGCATTTGACTCTCGATCTCAGGGTTGTGAGTTCAAGCCCCATGTTGGGTGTAGAGATTACTTAAAATTTTTTGAAAAAAATCTTAAAATCAATCAGTCAGTCAGTCCTGGGGATGTAATGCACAGCATGGCAGTTACAATTAACAATACTATATTACCAGTTTTTTGTTTTTTTTTTAAGATTTTATTATTTATTTGGCAGAGAGAGACACAGCGAGAGAGGGAACACAAGCAGGGGGAAGTGGGAGAGGGAGAAGCAGGTTTCCCTCCGAGCAGGGAGCCCGATGCGGGGCTCCATCCCAGAACCCTGGGATCATGACCTGAGCCTAAGGCAGATGCTTAACGACTGAGCCACCCAGGCGCCCCCTGCTATATGTTTAAAAGTTGCTAAGAGAGTGAATCTTAAAAGTTCTCATCACAAGAAAACAAAAGTTTGTAACTATGTGAGGTGATGTTGACTAACCTAGTTGTGATCGTTTTGCAATACATATATTAAATCACTATGTTGTATACCTAAAACTAACGCAATGTTATATGTCAATTATATCTCAATAAAACTGGAAAACAATTTAAATTTAAAAAGTTTTTTTAAAGATTTTTTTTATTTTAGAGAGAGAGAGCATGTGCGGGCAAGCTGGGGGGAGGAACAGAGGGAGAGGGAGAGAGAATCCTCAAGCAGACTCCCTGCTGAGCACAGAGCTCTACGTGGGGCTTGATCCCAGGACCATGAGATCATGACCCCAGCTGAAATCAAGAGTCCACCGCTTAACTGACTGAGCCACCAGGCACCCCCAAACTGGAAAAAAATTTAAAAGAACAACAACAAATTTCAAGACAACTTCAAGGTATTCTATTCTGGAATTACCAAAGCATATGGAAGATAACTAGAAATAATGTGTATTTTCAAGATCATAAAATTTAAAAAAGTTAAATTTAAATGATTAACAAATAGTCTAGAACTTTACCTTAGTCAAAATAAACTCATAAACATTTATTTTTTTAAGACTTTATTTATTAGAGAGAGAGAGTATGCACAAGAGAAAGAGAGAGGAGCAGGGGGAGAGGGAGAAGCAGACTCCCCACCAAGCAGGGAGCCCGTTGCGGGGCTGGATCCCAGCACTCTGGGATCATGACCTGAGCTGAAGGAAGACGCTTAACCGACTGAGCCACCCAGGCGCCCCCAAATCATAAAAATTTAAAACTATGTTTTGAGCACCTGCAATGTGAAAACACACTGTTCCCAAGAAGGGCACCAGGAAACAAAGGTGAGTAAAACCCACCACCAGTGCTGTCAAGGGAGACAGACCTGCATAGACACAGCAGAATAACAGGTAATAAAGGCAAAATGAGAGCCAGAACACCCCTGAGTGGCCCAGGGCATGTGGAAACAGACTCAGTAACTGAGAGGGATAAGACAATGTGAACATTATTTCCAAGTTGGGCAGCCTGAGAATGAGGGAAGTCAATGTCCAGGCTGAAGGTCCAGGGAAAGACCCAGAGCTCAGGGCAGCCAACTCCAGGGGCTAACCAGCACGCAGGCAGAACAGAGACCCAGTCCCAATCACCACTGCATAGTAACACCTGCTACTGCCTGGCACCAAATCTGTGGGTACTGATGGCCCCATGAGCCAGTCACACCAACCATTTCCAGCAGGATGCTAAAACATGAAAAAATTTCCCCTTGAAAGGCAAAGTTGGGCCCAGCGATTCGACTCCTTGGTATATATCCAAGAGAGTCGAAAATAGGTCCACACAAGAACGAGTATGTGGAGGTGCCTGGGTGGCTCAGCCGGTTAAGCATGGGACTTTTTGATTTTGGCTCAGGTCGTGATCTCAGGGTTGTGAGATCAAGCCATGTGGGCCGGTACTGGGCGTGAAGCCTGCTTGGGATTCTCTCTCCCCCTCCCACCTCCAAAAAGAAAAAAAAAAAAGCCCCAAACAACAAAAATGTACATGAATGTTCATGGTATTCATTATAGCCAAAAAGTGGAAACAACCCAAATATCCATCAATTGGTGGGGGAAAAAATGTGGTCTGTCCATACAACGGATTACTATTCAGCCATAAAAGGGAAGGAGAGAAGCCAGACACAAAGATCTCTTAGGATGACCCTATCTATGGGAAACATCCAGAACAGGCAGAGCCACCAAGGCAGAAAGGACATGAGCGGTTGCAGGGGGCGGGGGCTGGGGTGGGAAATGTTCTGCGATTCGACAGTGGAACCGCACAGCTCCGCCAGTAAACCAAAAACGAGTGCTCACACACTATTAGGGCGCATTCTACTGCCTATCTCAATAAAGCTGTTACTAACACAGCAAAGCCTGGGTCTGACAGGCTGAGAATGCCTTTCCCCGCTTTAACTCTAAGCCACGACCATTAGGAATCGTAGGCCCCCGACCGGAGGCTCTTCTTCCGGCCTCCGGATTGCTCGTCTGCTAATAAACAGGACGCCGGAGCCCGCCGCGGGGCCACGACCCACTCCAAAACCCACGCCGGGCGCCCACCGGCCACGCGCGACGTGGGGGGCGGAGCCCGACACCTCCTCCGGGGAGCCGGAACAGTTACCAGGCAACAGCCGCGGCTCCGCCCCCTCACCTACCCAATCAAGCACGTCCGCACGCAGCGGGCGAGCCCCACGTACGCCAGGCGGAGCGTGACCTCACGCGCACCGGGCCCAGAGAGCCCAGAGCCTGCAGACGCCCGCCCCCACGACCCCGCCCAGCCAATCAGAGAGGACAGGGTTGCGCGTCCGTGCGCGCGACCGTTGTCCCCGCGGCGGGGCTTCCCCGCCCCACCCCCACTCCTGGGCCCGGCCTGCGGGGAACGGGGTTCGGGGGCCGCGGGGCGGCGACGGGGGCGCCTCCCGCCGTGCGCCTGGACGGCCGGCCTCCCTCCCCAGGCTTCCCCCTCGCCAGCCCCGCGGGCGGAGAAAGTTCCAGGAGAAGCGCCCGCTCCTAA